AAGAACAATTCTGCAGTCATTCCACTGAGATGATGTAATCCAATGAGCATAAAGGATCTCTTGGTAGAAGGTATAGTTGAAGTCTTCGGCAGAGATACAGCTTATAGAACATTTACATTTTTGTTCTGCTAGCTGGAGTTATTTATCTGAAACTATCATCATCTATTAGAATTTTCAGAAGATATGATGTTGCTAGCTCTCACTAGTGACCAAACTAATTTGCATATGAGTACCTCGCAATAGAACCGTCAAAATGGTCTATGGCCCAAGAGACGATGGCCCAAAGGGCTGCATCGTCCGCTGATGTGGGTTTTGGCTCCAATATTAGAGACCGACTGGAGAGGAGGGCTCGAACAAGCTGACCCTTGGCAGGTGGGTGTCCGTCCCATGGGCGAGGGCCACCTGCATAGGTGGCTTAATTCGGTAGAAATAATGACATTATCTACTAGTTTTAAAACTTTTATATTTTTATTCCATATTTACTCATGTAATATTATTTTATTGACTATTTTTAAAGACATTTAATATAGCGTAACCCTTCACTTTTTTTTTTTTATTTTTTTTCACGATTTTCCTCCCCTTTTTCTTCTCCCTCTTCTTATTCTTCTTCTTTCTGAGACACAGAGGTGTTAAAAGCGAACCAGAGTTTTATGCTTTAAGAACGATTGTGCCGAATATTTCGAAGATGTGTAAGGCATCACTTCGACCTTCAACACGGCCGCTCCATGGTCGTCAATCCCCAAGTGCTGAATTAGAGTTATGGTCGAGAAATTCTGCTGACCCCTTCGTACTCAGACGCCCGAAATCCCTGAAGAACAAGGCCCGTAGTTGACGAGTTGGTTCGAATTTGCGAGTCCTGATGAATGTAGTGTCCTCTGTTTTCTCCAATAAACAGGTTTGTTTCCCGTACTTATTACATGTCAGATTCTTATACTTTCATTATTTTGGGTTTGGGATTATGGAATATTGAGTTGTTTGTTTCGGTCTATGACTCATAGACTATGAGGTTGATCTACCATATTGTACTTTGTAATGTTTGTAGTTTTAGTTTTCTCAACTTGCTTATTTGATTCTTCCTCTGAAAACACTCAATTTTTTGTCTGCAGTTTGCATATTTATTACAATGCAGATCTCACGTTCGCAAGTGGATCTATGCACAACTACTTCGTGAACATTTTTTCTTTTCCTTTTGGATTTCCAAATCAATGCTTCTTTTTTGGTTCAAACACGAAATTGTTCAGGCAGACAATAATTTTTGTTACCCGCCTCGAGCTCCGCGGCTGCCGGGAGATCTCCGACCTTGGTATGTTGGTTCTTGCCACCAAGTGCAAATCTCTTCGCAAATGCTCCTTCGGATCGTGTATGTTCAGTGCTAAAGGGTAATTCTATTTCGACCTATTGAAAGTCGTTTTCCTGTTGTTGACATATGTTATATTGTTGTTTTGTTGTTACGATACCTATCTTGTTTGTTGATTTTTACAAATTATATTATTAATTTTTTAAGTTGCAATAACAAACCTTTTGTGTTGTGCATATAACTTATTGGTGCTTAATTTGGATGTGATAATTGTTATAAATCATATGTATGTTGAGGATGATGTGGTCAAAATTTCGTAATTTTTGGATGTCTTTTGATATAGTTTAAAAATCGGGACTTTAGCCCAAAAATGCGATATTTTTAGAAATTAGTCCGGTTGCGATTTAGCTTAAAGTTGTTGATTATGAAATCCTTATAAATCACATAGAAATTATAATTTAAGTATCGACTTTAAATGAGTTAGAATTTTTTAGAATCGGGAACCCTAGTTTTATCCAGTTGGGTAAATTTTTTATTCGAGTTTAATCGCTCGAGTCCTAGTTCCGTTTAAATAATTTAAGATGTTGTAAGATTATAAACGAGTCCTTGGATGTCGAGAGGTGGTCGGTCGGTCGGTTAGTCACTGATCAGATCATAGTTGAGCCTAAGAAGGCTATCGAGCTCGTAGCGGTCGGAATTTTTCAACCGACGTGCCTTAGCACGTATCCTTAACGCGTCTCGATGTCCCGCACACGTGTTTGAACCTCATCTGACCGTTAGAGCCAAACCACCGAGTGCGTGACCGTGAACAGAGTCCGAGTCAAACCACAGAGTGCGTGCCCGTGCACCGAGTTCGTCCGATCTAACGTCGCGTTGACGTTTTCCGTTAGTCCGGGCAGTCTGGACGGTTCAGAGGGAATTCTAGTTTAGTGGAATCAGTTTGGGCAGTTCGAATGGTTCAGGAGTTTTCAGTTCAGAATATTGGTTTGAGCGTGAATCGAGATTTTTAGTATTTTCCCGAACCAATCAGATTGAAGTCCAGTCAGAATATAGTTCCAAACTTAAAAATATTTCATAGAACTCTAGTGTGCTTCAAAGACAATAAATTTTTAAAATCAGCTCATAAATTCCTAAAATGAGTTTTAAATAATTTTAAGGCCAAGTGAGTAAACAGAGTCAGATCAGATTATAAGATTTGAGTTTTTTCAGTTTGAGTTAAGTACTTAGAATATATATTGTGCTTATATATTTTGTAGCTTATGGGAAGTCGAGCCTCTGACAGTTGCAATCCATTCAACACTTGCACTTCAGCATATCAGGTGGGGACCTATACTGTGTACTATATTTTCTATAATTGAAATATCATGTCTGAGGTATCTATGTAAGAGTTAGTTCGCCCAATTAGGGGCAATTACCTAGCGAGTAGGTCCTTTTTAGCTAAGTGAACCGGACGCTAGTTAAGATGAGATAAAAATTCTAATGCAGCTTTGAGTTAAGATGAATTAAGAACCTTAGAACAACTTTGAGTTAAGTTGAAATTTCAGATGAGGTTAGAATAATTCTTCCCTAAAGGGCATTGACCCGGAGATAGATCTCATCATAACCAAGTGTTTAGCTTATTGATAGTAAATTGAAAAACAATTATAGGCAGTTTACTTATTGATACGCTTTTGTGATATGTTTTATCATATTAGATGCATGCTTAAGTTGTGATTTGTTTTATCATATTAGATTTATGTTTAGGTTATGATGTGCTTATAATATCAGAGGTATGTTTAGTTCACGATGTTGCAGTTATAGTCAGTCATCCGAGCAACAATTATAGTCAGTCAGTCGAGCAGTAGTTATAGTGAGTCAGCCGAGCAGCAGTTATAGTCAGTCAGTCGAGCAACAGTTATAGTCAGTTAGCCGAACAGTAGTTATAGTCAGTCAGTCGAGCAACAGTTATAGTCAGTCAGTTAACCAACAGTCATAGACAGTCAGTTAAGTAGCAGCTATAGATAGCTTACCTATTTATGTATTTATTGGAGGTATGAATAATTCGCGATTAGTTTCTACCAATCCAGTTGGTACTTGCATATATGCCGATGTCATGATATGTTATTATATTAGCTGCATATTCTGTGCCGGTTCCGGCGGAGCATCGTTAATTCATTTTTATGCTCACGCCACCACTAACCATTTTTCAGGTAACGGTGTCGAGCGTGGAGCGTGAGCCGATGATGTGGTGGTGGTCATAACGAGGATATTTTGAGTAAACAAGACATGTATATTTGAACATGTTTGAATTATTATGTTTTGTTGATGCATGCGTGCATTTGCTTCCGCACTCAGTATTCAGTATTCAGAACAGTATTCAGTATTCAAATTTCACTTTAATGTATGCTTAAATCCTGAGATTTTCATGGCGCCTTATTAGAGTAATGAATTATATCTCAGTTGAATGCATAATAGCAAGTGAGAACATAATTGAGAATTTAGTTCAGTTGAGTAGCATCCCGCATATTAAATTTAAAGTATTTTCGAAAAGTTAATAGGAGTTTTCAAAAATTAAATTAGTGCTTTCCATTTATAGCGTGAAAAAATTTCTCTGATTTTAGTAAGTTTTGACGGGGTGTTACACCTAGACCCCTAATTAGGGATCTAAACCCAAAAAAAACTACTCTCCACTCTTCTAATTCCCCCCTTCTTCTCCTAATTGGAGAGAATATCATTGAAGTTCCATCCAATAAACCAACATCTACCTCCACATCAAACTATGTCTAAGTAGAAAGTTCCACTGATTGATTCTCTCAGGGGCATCACAGCTAGCATAGATAAACACACCCGATTGGGAAAAATCACAATTTTTTTATTTTGAAATGAACTTCAATACAGACTCCAAACAAATATTTTGAGACCAACATAAAAGGAGACCACCCTTAGTCCCTACTGGTTTAACAACAGTCCACCTATTATCAAATTTGCAATTTTTGCACAATATTTTTTACAAATTTTTCTTTATTTTTGTTTCATATAAAAAGAGAAAATCAGGGAGGTTTTGATTTGGGAAATTGTAGAGACCAATTGATATGATTTGACCTCAAATCTATTTAACCAAATACAAAACAATCCCATCCATTTTTCTGTTTTTGTTTCTTTTTTTCCTTTCCATTTTCCTTCGAGTAATGCTACAAAGCCAACTTGAGTTACAACTTGAGTTACAACACCATTGTAAATGCATTATTTAAAAATTTCTTGATAATACATTTACACTTGGATTGTAATCCAAGTTGTCACCCAAGTTGGCCAAATAGGAATCCAAGTTCCGTAATCTTTTAAGAATCGACTCAAGACTAATAGGAATCTAATTTGTTTCCACACATATTTGACATAGCTTGATCAAATTTCACATAGATCAGCTGCTTCAATCATACTGAAAACAAAACTAGTTAATGAAAACAAATCTCATTCTTGAAAGATGCTAAAACTGCATAAAAGAATGGAAAATAAAATGGCTTGCAATTGTTCCAAGGTATCCATGAATGCCAACTGCAACAATGAAACTTTAGAGGGGCAAAATGAGCATCAAATGGATGAAAGCTCATGTTAGTCCCTTATTTTCAAAGCAGAATCTCAAAGGTGATCTAACAATAAAAACATCAACAATAATTTTTAACTCTGAGCTCAAGTACTTGCACAAGTTTGAACACGGATGGTTCGTTTAGACATTCAAAGATAGCTTCTGGGATGCAAGGGCCTCAGCTTCGAGTGTGGGCTCCCACAAGATTGTAGTTTCGGCAAGTAATGAAGTCACCACATAAGGGTCCATGTTAGAAGCCGGGCGCCTGTCTTCCAAATAACCTAATGATGGGGAAAAAAAAATAGAGAAAAGACACCATTTTCACAGCATTATACTGGGATTGTTAGCCTTTCCTTTCTTGGGGAAAGAAAAAAAAGTGATACAGTTAAATTTACTGAGTGAAAATGTGTAGAATCTTGTTGTACCTTTGCCATTTTTCTCGGTGTCACGTCCCACCCGGATTGAGCAACCACGGTTAGCAACACCCTGTAAAAAAGTTACGGCCAAGTGATAAAAATCGAAAGAGTTACTTTGTTACAAGTATTATATATTTTATTTTCAAGAGATCTTCGAACTTTACCCAGGAAAACTTGTCAATGCTAGCAGTTTCATGCTTTCCGGTCAATCTTCTTTCATTTCCTTCCCCATAAGCACTGATGTGCTCTTTGTGGCGAAGAGAAAGGTTTAGAATTGCTTTCTTTATTACTTCAAATCCACCTTCTTCTCTCATGCTCTTGGTGCTAAAAAAAAACAAAGTAATTTTATATATTTGTAATCAGTTGATCAGTTTTACAAAAAATCCAACAGACATCTCTACGTGTTTTGTCCACTCGTGAGAACTCGTTAGCTTATAAATACCTACCTGTAGTTGGTATGGCATCCAGCACCATTCCAGTCACCCTGAGATGATATAAAGCCATGAAAGAGAAATTATATATTTCATGTTGGTTACTTCTCCACAGACACAAGGTCGATTTATCGAAAATGGAAAAAATGAAGAAGTCAAAATCTAAATACCTCTATTGGTTTTGGATCAAGGGAGAGTACAACTCCAGCTTGTTCTGTAATTCTCTGTCAAGACATATATGGAATGAAATGTAGAGATATGCACACACAACAATATATGGACTAAAGAAGGTTACATATTCATCTAAGCATATATTATATACAAAAAATGTGTTTGCCTGATTCATATTCTATATGAACTAAATAAACAGATGAATAAATAAATAAATAAATAAGAAATGGCATACCTCAAGGAGGTACCTTGAACACCAGATGTGATCACCAGCTTCAATTCCAACACTTGGACCAACTTGAAATTCCCACTGCAAATTTGCTCAATCAATGTCAATACCTTCGTTTTTCCAGGCTACAAAACCGACTTGCATGTTTGTTTACTGATGAGCAAACAAAAGACTCGAGCAATTATACCTGGCCAGGCATAACCTCTCCATTCGTACCGCTAATATTGATGCCCGCATATAAGCAAGCTTTGTAATGAGCATCTGATATATCTCTCCCGAACGACTTGTCTGCTCCCGCACCACAATAATAAGGGCCCTAAAATTTCACCAAGTATGTTATAGCTAAACCCAACTGGTCCACAGTCCACGAACAATTTGATCACAATTTCTTGAATTTTAGCAGATTTTAGCAGCATTCTGTATCCACTTTTCCTTTTTCGAAAACACAAAACTCAGGGAGGAAAAGAAGAGTAAATTAATACCTGAGGTCCAGGGTAACCTCCAGTGGGCCATCCGAGTGGCCATTTCACGTTAGTTTGAAGTAATGTGTATTCTTGTTCTATGCCATACCTAATTCAAGATCATTACAAGAAGTGAGCTACATTTACCGTCCACATATGACAACATGAAATAGTAATTCGAGACGCACAAGCAAAAATGAAGCATAAATTTTTGTTTCTCAAGTGAATAATGTCACAATATATAAATTGGTTGCCAAATTATGAAAAAAAATAAAATAAAATGAAATACCATGGAATTTCGGCAGCAACCTTAGGGTCATTGAAAACTTGGGCAGCTCTATAGCGCTTGTTTGTTGGTATGGGCTCACCTGTCGAGGTATATGTATCACATATGACCTGTCTTGTGCCATATACATACATGAGAAACAAATAATGCTCTATTCACATCCCACTCCAATTGGCTTGACAGGCAATTCACACCAGATTAACAAACTATATTAACTGACTAATAGAAATATATAATTTTTCTATTGTTTTTTTTCAACTAACCAAGATGTTATTGCCACCGCGAAACGGGTCCTTGAAAATTGCTTGTGGGCTGCAAAGACAGAGCCAATTTATCAGAAAACTATAAATAAATGTAGGAATTATGCTGATTAAAAATGTCATTTGCAAATGAGCTTACTATAATATGACTTCACTATCTTCTCCAGGGGCCTGTCCCGTGCTCGATCCATCGTAATTCCACTTTGGAAGCTCGGAAGGGTGTTCCACAGGCTTCGAAATGGTCTAAAAGTTATAACAAGAAAGAACCGGTAAATATTATATGATTCATCGTCACAATACGAAATAATAACAACGATGAAAAAAATTGAAAACATGATATTTATCATCGTACCCTTGATTTACTACGGACATCGATTCCTGATCCTCCAATCCTACCACAGTGAAACAACAAAGCTACAGTTACCAAGAATATCAAACTGAATACACCACTGGTTAGTCTATATATTAAAGGAAGAAAAAAATAAAAAAGAAAGAAAGAAATGTACCATATATATTCAGCAATGATCTTATCCGTGTATGGAGTCACGTCCAAGTTCAGCATCTGTTCGAGGCGGTTGATAGTGCTGTTCTCAGACTTGACGGCTAAAACTCGGAACTTGGCCGAGCTTTTAGCGGCCCCTTTCATGGTCTGTTTGAGGACCACTGAGCTCCACACCTTGCTTGTCAACGAGCGTGAAACCATTGAGTTCGTTGGGACTCTCATCCGCCATTGTGCCGAGGGGGCCAAGATTTGCGCCATTCTTTGACTTCCCTAACTAAAAAGATGAATCAGAGGAAGTGACAACTTTTGTTATGTGAAATTATGTAAAAAGGGTGGAGGGAAATGGTTTTTTCATCTTTTGGGTTTTGTTTGGTAGAAAGGGGCATGGATTGAAAAGGAGTGGACAGTAAACTCTGGTCTCTTTGAGGTCACCAACAAAGTTACAAATATATATATAGAGAAGGGATCATATGAGAATGATAGATAGTGAAAGAAATAAGAATGACTATGGGGCATTGGATCAAGCATATCAATGAACATGATGAAGTCAAAGTTAAGTTACAAGGTCAAATCTGTAATGGCAGTATTGTAATTATAATATTGTTTCATGTACAAATAAATAACAGAGAGGACAATTATGTAATTTAGCAAACAACCAAATAAGTGAACCCACCCATAAAATC